GCCCTACATCTGTATGCGTTTCACTGGAACAGCAGCAGACAAAAGTTTAGCATCATCTCAGCAGCTGATCATCACTTTCGTCCCATCGTCTCGTTAAACCTCCTGTCATATTGTTTTCTTCCGTTTAGGTGTTTGCACTGGTTTTCTTTTTGGCTTTTCCATTTCGTTCAGCACATTCCTTTCAGTTCTGCCACAATCGCTGCCTCGTATTTCTATCCATTTTTTTGTTGTTGTGCATTTTTCTGCGTTTTCTGTCCTGATGCTTTGGATTTCACTATGATCTACCCATGCGTGTTCCTCTTGTAACCTACCCATTTTGTTTGTAGCTGTTCCAAATTTTAGAGGCAGCAAACATCTTTTGCCACACTCCGTGTTGCATTCCCATCTTGAAGGAATACTATTAGTTCAACTAACATGTCTCAGGTTGGGGTGCTAAAATTGGCGAATGGATTGCGCTGCATATTTGGATAAATAAATAATAACCAATTTTTTTTTTAAATTTAAAGTATGCTTCATGAAGCTGGAACATCGAGCTATTAATAGTAAAAAGTAATAAGAGCCTCCATAAGATAGGACGATATTTTTTCCAGGTATTAAATTCTTACATTTGCCGTTTGATGTATTCCTTAAGAAGCTTTTCGTCCACTGTGTACATCTGGAATTTGTTGCCATCATTGTAGTAGTAAACCATGTTGGTGCCAAACTCTGCAGGGGCCTGAGCAGAACCATCAGATGACTGAGAGTCTCCAAAGTTGAGCGGGTATTCATATCGCCCTAAAAACAAAAGAACAGAAGAAACAAATAACGGCATATCAAGGAGAGGGAACACTTCAAAAAGCTGGATTTTCTTGTCTTTGACAGAAATTGCATTGCTGATAATTCTGCTTCCAATTTATGTGTGGCAATGAATGAAAAACACTAGTCTGTACCTCGCCCACGACCTCTTCCGCGTCCACGTCCCTTCCCTCTTCCTCGTATTCCTCCACGAACACTCCCACCGTCGCTCCGAATGCTTGAAGCATCGTCGCCATAGTCCCGCGGCTCTCTTCGCCAACCTATGAACAAGAAAACATACACTCATGATCAAAGCCTACAACTTCTTCCATGTACCACTGAAGGGCATTATTAAACTTTTAGATTTAAAACTACTAAGAAGTTGAGTTGAACAAGAAACTCAAAGTAAGTAAACTGCTTTTTTATTTAAATAGTACTCGTCTTTAAGTAAATTTAAAGGATTGTAATCAATAATATTTTGTAACTGTCTAAAGCTTCGATATAAAAACAAGTTGTAAATAAACCCTAATAACAGCCAGATCATCTAAACTAGAAGGACTACTTTCAGCACAGATGATAAAAACATAAAAATGTCCACCAACATCCAGTTAGCTTAACAGCTTTATGACAAGCAGCAGCAGCCTGTTCTCGTTGCAGAGATCTGAAACCTTTTAATATTTGTTTTTATTTGCAGGAAAAATTACAAACATTTGGTTTTGTTGGCAATTTGTATGAGAATAAATGTCAAAGAAGCTTTAAATCATCCATCTGATGCAAGATATTCGCCAAATTTAAAAAAAAAAAGTCATGCTTTCATTGAGCCATGCAGTAGGAAAAAAGCCATGTGGACACTACAGACAGATGGCAGCTTGCTGAGCAAATGTTAAAAAGATACCAGAGAAATAAAGAGCAAAGCCAGCCCAGAGAAGTGAGGAAGAAAGAAAGAGACTGAAGGCGTGAACAGTAAACAGTGAGCTCGTGGCCACTTACTCCTGGTGCTATCATGCGCCCTGTTATTATGGAGCGTTTGATTAGGCGACGTGAGGTCAGACGAGTCATCGATGGGCTCTGTGTCTGAGCGTGCTGGGCCCCTGCCGGGCGTCATGGCATCATCATCCCGGGACACTTCCTCCAGCGGCAGAGAAACCCACTTACGTTTGTTACCTAACGATGATTGCACACCGAAAACAAAGCTTGTAGAGTTTTGGTCCAAAAGGGGGGGGGAATAAAAAAGATCAAATCCAGAAATAAAGCTCCATGGTGACTAAAACTGCAGCGTAAACCTTTCATCATAGCAATGAATGACTGCTTAATCATATTCCAGGTTTGTTTAGCAAATAAAGGACTTAAAAGTCTTTATTCTCATGTACCCATAGCTTCTAGAGTTTTTGTACTAATGCTCTGTATTCAGGTTTTGTAGCCACATAAATGCAAACCATGTGACATTAACTTGTTTGCTATTTTGGATGTGAGATGCTGTAGCTTCAGTGAATAATGCCTCAGTCACACAGGCCTAGAGACTAGTCGGTGTCCAGTTGTGACGTTGTGGCTGTAATGTCAATTCTCCAAGTACGTGTGGTCGCAAAAAAAACCCAAAAAACCAGGCAGGCATAGCCCATCCACACAGACCCTCACACTGACTGCCTGATAATGACATTTAGGTTACTGGGACTCAAGGAAACTGTAGCGGACGCGCAGACACAGAAAGTATGATCCCCACCTGCCAATTACTTTCTAACTGTGGAACACAAAAGTGCAACACAAACCGGGAACAGAGAGCATTTGCCTTCAGAGTTTAAGTTGCACCTCAGTGCTTCAACCAACAGGGTTGTCAAAGGAGCTTGCAAAGAAAAGCATCTGGACTTCTTTAAGTTGCTTGAAGACGTTTCACCTCTCATCCGAGAAGCTTCTTCAGTTCTGTGCCTTTTGAACCCCCAACAGGGTTCAAAAGGCACAGTTTCTACAAGGTTTTCTGTTTCTGATTTGCGTTGCACTTTTTCAAATTTTACTACTGATGGGTTAGCAAGTTTTTACAGACCAGCATGCAAACTATGGACTACTGATCAAAGTAATCAGAGTTAGGTTTTGGGTGTTAACAGATTTCACCTAGTGACTGCCAGGAAACTCCAAGGACCACTCACCACTGGATCGGAGAATCCACATTATTCTCTTGTGACTGGTGGTTATCAATCATCCAATATGATGAACAACTCTTGCAGAATATGTGCATGCAAGACATTATAAAGTTTAGGATTTTAGAGAAATTTCAACTATAGCTGTTCATGGAGTTATATTTATTTATTTATATTTATATATTTGGTCTCTAGGCCTGTGTGACTGGTGCTTTAGCAAATCGATTTCACAACAATGGCAACTGCCATCAATCTCCAGCAAGCTCTAGTCAACTGGATGGGGGGAAAACTGTTTCCCTTGCAACTGGTGGTTGCCACACAGTCACTGGTTTGTCTCTAGGTCTGAGATTTTGTTGCTTCATTTAGCAGCTTTTTGCATCTCTATAGAACATTTGTGTCAATTACTTCTACATAGTCTTGTAAAGTTCTTATTAACAATGTGATTCAGGCATTTTGTTTAATGTTCACTCCTACACTACACTTGGACAGTTCATTACTATAAAGATTTAAGTCCAGATTCAAATTTTAAATTATTAAAGTTTGGCAGCTGATTTAAACGCTATATTAGGTCAAAACATAGTTTAAAAATGTCTTTTCTTTTATTTAGAAACAAGCCTTTTCATTTCTTTTTTGGTGTTTGAGGTGTTAGTGAAGGTTTTTATCTCTGAATGGCTTCCACAAAGATTGGTGCCTGTGATGTTTACAATGTAGGAGTGGATCATTGGAAGAGAAACACGTAAGATAATCACAGCAGAGCATGCACCAGTCTTCACCAGCCAGCAATTACCGAGTTAATACAGTTACAGACATGCTAAAAAATACAAATCATCACAGTCGAGTGAAAAATATCCATCTCCAAATTTGGAACTCAAGAAACATCTGTAAAAAAAAAACACATTGTGGAGATGAATAACTTCACAAGACGGTGATGAAATGTGTGTGAATCAGAATCAATCAGGATTGTAGCCGCTGTCATTAGCCTTATCCAAACCATTTAAGAGAGAGAGAAAGAGAGAGAGAAAGCTTCATCTCATCAACGACTTGCTCTCCCATACCTCCTCTCTTCCTCAGGTTGGCACTCTTGGCGTCCTGTCCTGCTTTTGACTCTTCATCTTTGGTCAGCTCTCCCATCGGCTCCACCTGAGCCTCCTGGTTCTCTTTGCTCTCACCTCCATCATGGCTGCTCTCAGATTTTCTCTCTGGTCGCTCTCGTTTCTTCTCCTTATCTCTGCGCAAATAGGGAGGCTTCTTTCCATTGTTGTTGAGGACATTTTGTTGTTGCTAAAATTTTAAAGGGGGGGAAAATACCAGCTGTTAGTCACACCTTTATAGAACAATTTCAATTTTGTGGGCTTTTACTGATATGTTTCCTGCTCTGTGGATTTGAATTCTTTGCACAAGTAAGAAAATATACAATACATTCTTTTAGATGCAGATCAAGTTTAATCTTAAGGCTTAAAAAAAACTACACAACTGGCAGAAACAAGCAGCTCATTTCCAACACTGTGACAATGACAACATTTTTAATAACTTAAATATTCTTCGTGATGAAAAACACATCAGGTGCTTCTCCAGTTAATCAAACTTTACATTTGAAGA